CGGGCGTGGGGACGGGGTGCCGCAGGCGGCCGCCTCGGCACCCAGGCGAGGGGTCGGCCCGGGACGGTGCGGTGGGGGCGGCCCTCCCCACCGGCCCGGTGCATCGCGTCCTCCCTCCCCGGATAGGTGCCGCTGAGCCACCGCGTTGGCGGAGCGCCTTGACCCCGTCGGTTTTTTGGCCGCTTTCTGGAAGCCAGCGGTTACCGTTGGGGCAGCCGAGCTGTAACTGGGGGCCGGTGGCGGCTCTGAAGCTGTTCGCGGCCGAAACGCAGCCCTGCGGCTCGGGGGAAAGCGTGCCTTCGATTAGCTTGGAAGGAAACCCCTCGATAGATCACGGTCTCGGGAGAGTGGCGTTATTGTGGAGTGCAGGCAAAGCGGCCCTGACTCTCTTGATAAGTTCAGACCTGTCGGCCTAGGTAAGAACTACTCGCTCTCACATACAGATTAAAAAACAAAACCCCCAAACAAAATCAAAGCTTATGGCTTTGACATGGAAGTCTTTGAGCTTAGTAGTAAAAGACAACAGCGGGTGTCTGGAGCAAGCGGAATTGCAGCTCAAAGTAAGCCTGTTTCTGACGTGTTTTACTAATGATTAAACAGGCAGAAGAAAAACCTAATGTTTGCTATTCAGAGTTCTGTTTGAATGCTAGGGATTCTGACTATGAAGGGAACGGCATGGAAGGATGAAAGTTCATTTTATAGCTTATTTTTCAACAAGTCCTAAAAATAAATCTTCTAATAAATATTTCAGAATGTTTTTTTCTCCTGTTTTCATCACATTTTCTGTTCCATTTGTCTTCCCTACTGCATACCTTGTCAGTTTTCTCTTTCATGAACAGTGGGAAATTAGGACTTGTCCTACCCATGCAAAATTTCTGTGGTCCATGTAGTCTGGTTTCCTATCCTTGCCTCTGAACAATGCCATGGATTTCTGGAAAAGGGGGTGTGTGTGGAGAAAAAACAGAAAGATCTTAATAATGCAGCTTGTACCATTCAATAATCATAAATGGAAGTTGCCTGCTAGTCTCAGTGCAGCTGCATTTGGTCCAACATCCAGTGAGGGACATGTTTTGGATAAGATAGATAAGGAACAGGCAAACATTAGCAGTTGGTTGGCTTTATTTTGTTGGCTGCATAAAGCTTATGTCACTGATGAGCATTTCGGGAGTCTCTAGTCACTGGAATTATGGAGCTAATTGCAATATAACAGCTGTACAAACAAGATCATGTCACTTTCTACAGTGGCATCACATGTCCTTTTTATTCAGTCTATGGGGTCTTCTGAGTTTCTGGGAGAGCGCCCTAGTAGGCTACAACTGCTTTACACAGCTGGGATATTAGGTAAGCAGCTCTAAGCTATGTTTAACTAGCCTGCTTAAGGCAGGTTTATAGTTGCATCTGCAGTACAAAACAGCTGGAAGGAACAACTGAATATCATCTTCTCCCCCCATTTTTTTTCCTTTTCAGTAGCATTACTTCTAAACAGGTGCCTGGTGAGTAATCACTACACAGTGTCTGTACAACACCTACTGAAATCATAAGGCTATTGAATTTCTTAAGGCTTCAGTGATAACCGATTGAAACACACCGAGTACGTTAAGGGTGAACTATTGGTTTGGCAGGGTCAGAAGTGGGCTGGAGTTTCCTGTAATCAAACTGGCAGCAGCAGTCAGGATTACTTTTTTTTTAAATAAAGGTCCTATCATAATCTTTGTAAGGAAAAAAACAGTTGAATAAATACACTACTAATTCTGTGCATAGGCATTGAAATATTTGCACTAAAATATGAAATTTGCATTGAGTTACATGTTTTATTTAAACTCAAAAGTCATAGGAAATCAGCTTAGGAGAAGGCTGAACTGCTGTGATGTAGGGGAAAAGACCTGTTTCCATTACCCCGCTGTACTGGAAACACAAGGTAGGCAGTTTTATCTGGTGTAATGTCCTCAGGAACATTGCACACACTTGGAATTTTCTTGTGCTTTATTTACTGAAAAATTGTGTCAAAATGAGAATGATGTAGCTAAAGCTCAAAACAAGATTGTCTAAAGTCAGCTGTGAATTGGGCCTCATCTACACCACAGAGCCTCTGCCCCAAAGCTATGTCAGCATGCTTGCGCTGGTAGAAATCTCCAATGTAAACAAAATCCGCAGATGCAATGCACAATTTTACTACTTTGTTGTTGCTCCTTTTGCCTCAGAACAGATGGACTTTCTATATCCTTCTTATTAGTCTGCTTTTATGTAACGACAAATGCAGCCATTTACCCAAGTTAATTAAAATGACACTGCTAGCAGCAGTTGGTGATAAATAAACAATCAAAATGTTTTTCTGGGTATGCTCTCCAGTGTGGTTAGGGCTCAGAAGAGCTCTCATAAGGTCCTTCTTGTCCTGTCATCTCGCTGTGCTTTTTGCCAGTCTCTGAGCAGGCCATATGTTAGTGATGGGCTCATTGATTGAGAGAGAAGGTCTGGGAGATCCACAGTTGCAGCAGCTTCCAATTCTTTTCTCCTCCTAACTGCTGTGTGAAGGATACGTAAAAACCAGAGAATGCAAATCCAGCTCTTTAAATACATTGTTAACAACCCTTGAGATGTACTTATGGCGTACCTTAACGTTTGTGAAAGTGGAAAACAGTGGAAGACGAAAGCAGGCTTGAATCATTTCTTTTGTGCCAAGAATTTCTGGAAATGGGGGCCCAGAAAGTAAGATAAGACTTTTCTTCGAGCAGTTTCCTTGAGGATCAGTCTTCGCCTTACAGAGTTCTTTCCATTCTCCAGTAAGACCACCATGTAGATCAAAATGTATATAAAAAGAAATGAATCCTCAAAAACCAGACTGCTGCCTGCTCATGTACTTATTAGGGGGAAGAGCACAAGCTGACTTCTCCTCCTTGCATTTCTAAGCAACTTGCTGGTTGCTCTCTGAGATAAAGGTGTGCTTTAAAACTTTGGAGATATGCTGTAGTACATCCACCTTATGCTCAGGAGGTCTTACCTATTGCCTTACCAGAGCGGAAGCAGATAGATGAGTTTGGAGTTACAAGCTTATCCCACATTGAATACATTTAGGATGCTGTAATGGGGAGGTTTCTTCAGGTCATCATCCAATGTTGCAGCACTTCAGAGTGCTTCAGCTGTGTTCCCTGTCACTGATAGGGACCTTTAAGTAACGTGTTTAGGATGGTACGGTTTTAGTTACATCTGTCACCTAAAAGGTATTCTCGCTTCAGGTTCTGGGCCTCATTAGCTGCTCTTTCTAATAAGCCATCTAAGTTTTTTACTTTCCCATTAGTGCACAGACATTGGGAGGCTGTTCTCTGACATTTGACTGCTGGCATGTCTCATAAAGGTGCTCAGGGTTTGAGGTATTACGTGCTCATGAACAGTACTGAGTTGACTATGTCTGCTTGAATTGATCTTCTTTGTAGACTAGTGATGAATATGTATGCACACCATATCTGGTTTGCACTGCAGGTGTCATGACCCTCACACAGTTGTGCTAGTCTGAGAGGTTAAGTCGTGCAAAGACTGATAAAAGAAGTGCAGGTGTGTAGAAGTGTGGTGCTCTCTAGTTAACACGTCAGCCATGCTCTTTAACCCTATCAGCTGGACTTTTTCCAATTAGGCTCATCCATTTTTCTTAGTCACAAGGTATGTCCAAAGCCTAAACTAACAAGGCAGTCTAATTTAGTCACTGTTCCTGTAGGGTTGTGTGCTCTACAGAGAACATGGAAGCAAACAAACTTCTTTCATTTTTAATATAATTTCTCAATTCACTTGTTTGTGCACCATTTGTGTAAAGGTCAATAAAATGACAGTAACAAGATACATGAAAATTAAGTAATGACACATAGCATGATGGATCTGAAATACAAAAATTAGGTAGGTTTGTGTTTTATCTTGGTAAAATGTGAATGTAGGTAGGTTGTCTGCCTTGATATTTCTCAGGATATCATTCTCACCTTTTACTTTGTCTTGTCCTTTTACAGTTCTGAAAAATAAAATAACATTTCTGTTAATTACATATAACAGGTAGCCTGATTTTATAAGACACATTTTTGGTCTCACGTAAGTTAATTAGGATCAGAATATTTACTCTCAGATCACTGAAACAGGTAATATAAAAGGCTTCACAGCTTTTTTCCACTTGTTGGTCACATATCTCACTTTGTATTATCCATAGCTAAAAAAAAAAAAAAATCTTGACCTGAATATGACATTTAAATTATGCTTCAGACATAGCATTGCACAAACTTTTTTTTTGTGACTCAGGATTTTTTTGGTCAGAAACAGCTACCCCACATACAGAAAACAGAATTCTAGGATTTCTTGCCCACATTTTCCAAAATGATAGCGAACAGCAACTCCCGACTAAGCACTTAATTCAGATTTTTGTTAGATTCTCATATTTGTTCAGTGCTTACAGCATTTTTCAGCTGTTAAAAAATAAATAACAACAGAGCTCCTTTGTTTCTACAAAGTTTTATCCCAGCAGTATGCCTCTCAGTTCCTGTTGAGGAAACGTCGAGCAAATTCTTTTATGGAAGAAAGTAAGAAGGGAAATCTAGAAAGAGAGTGCATTGAAGAATTATGCAATAAGGAAGAAGCCAGGGAAATCTTTGAAAATAATCCTGAAACTGTAAGTATCTGATGAATATCTATGAGGTAGATAGATAGTAGTTCTTTGCAGAGGGAAAGCTAGAAGTCCATAGAATTCACACTGCAAAGCTAAAAGAACCCCACTATGCAGACCAAGAACCGGTTTGAAATTCTTTTGTGTAAAGAACATGCACAATTAATAATGAAGACTGTATAAGCAAAGAGAGTAGTTGAGTAGATATTATTTTAATTCCTAGTATGGATCACCAGTTTTAGACCATAGTTGTCTGCAAGCATTCCATGTGGGGAAACTGTTGGCTTCAATTAGAATTTTACACAGAGGATGCATGGCAGTGCAGTCCTTTTAATGAAGGGATTGGACATACTACTGTGAGCTTTTTTCCTAGTGGAGAGAACTCTGTTCCTCAGTTCGTTCCCACTGCACATTATTTAGTATTAGGTATATTTTTTGTATTCATTTATATAATATATATTATATATATATAAAATATCCCTATTATATATAGGTATATTTTTTATTTATATTTTTTATTATTCAACTTCTTGTTTTTAAAAATTTCTGGTTTAGTAACAGTTTTCACGTTATTTGGAATGAATTGCATATGAGATGTTCAACGTATGCCAGGGTTTTTGTTTATTTTAGGCTGAAAAAGGGAAATAAAGGAGGCTGCTCTGCATCCAATAGCAACATTGGGCAAGATCGTCCCATTTAAAGAGACAATTTTCAAAGTAATTTTGACACCCAATTCATTTTCATTGCTTTCACTTTGAAAGTGTCCAATTCAGTGCGGTATCTTAATCTCTCCAATGAGTCTTGTGTTTATTAAATCATCTGCTGTCTTAGCCTAAACAACAGTGATGCAGAAAACTTGGTCTATATTCTGTGAGTCAAAGTGACTTTTTCTTTTTTGCTTCTTTTGTAGTTAACAAAATATATAGTACCAATATATGTTTTGGTACAAAATATACTACCAATATATTTTAGAACATATTCAGTGATATATTTTGCTGTAATTCTATCTACCTTAATTTTTCTTACTCTTTATTTTTCTTTTCTTTCTGCAGGAGTATTTTTATCCCAAATATTTAAGTAAGTACAAAAAAGCTGAACATCTCTAGTATATCATTCACTGGTCTTCTTATTTGGCTAATACTAGTTTAGTTATTCTGCTCATAGCACTTGAATGATTTCCGTGCTGGTTGTAATGCGTAGTAGCTCATAGGCAGTTCTGTGTGCTTAGATCCTAGCAGAGGCACTCAGAAGGTTGGTCTGTGATCAGCTGTCCTTAATATGTCCAGACAAGTTTTCTAATTCAAGCTGTGAGAACACAGTCTTTGAAGATGCTATGCATAAGCTGTTAATTTCAGTCTAAATGAGTGTTTGTATCATAAGCAGATTGTGTGGGTTTGCATTTGCAGGCTGCCTTGCCTCCCATCGAGCAGGGATTTTCAGGGTTACAGCAGTTACTCCAGATTCTCCAGCTGACCTGAGGGCTTGTGTCAACGGTAAGTGCTGCTGTTACTTTACCTAATGCACTCAGATCTAAGAACTCATGTGTACGTGGCTAGAAAGCAGTTCACATAGGCAGGAAAAGAGACAAATCTCCATTTAACTCAGGCAAACTCAATAATCTAAAACAGAAATTGACAAAAAATATTAGGTGAGACATAGCATTTTCAGAGCAAGCTAAGTGACTTTTTAACTTTATAAAGCATGCTGGAAAGTAAACATAATTAACTGCAAAATGGAAGGCAGAATTCTTCTAGAAACATAGAAACATCCTACACCAACCCACTGATGTTCCCTAGTATGTCCTCTGTACTCTACCATGTTTTTAATAGTTATGCCTGATTCTTTGCATCTAGCAAGTCCTGTTCTGTCAGTTAAGGGAAGAGACCATCTGCTTAATTCTCCTTTCTACCACTCTTTGGCCCATAGTTACACTGTAGCCCTTCATGAAGTGGATGACATTACCAGATGAAAAATTCAAATATTAGCTGGAAGACATAGTCGTTGACTCCAGACACAGGAAGGTCACAAAGCATGAAACTTGTGATGTTGCTGAAATATTTTTTTTTCTATGCCTATACATTGATAAGTCCAGTGTGAATTGTGTTTTTTTTCTGGTAAATTCACAGGAAGCAATCTGTACCATATGCTCTACTTGTCACAGTAGAAACTTCTCTCTAAACCTCTTAAACTTTTACAGCCCAGTTATATCAAAGAAGCTTTCAGTTAGCTTGAATAGGAATACTTATCCTTAACCATCTGACACTCTTTTTCTCATTGAAAGCAACAGAAGGCAAAAAACCCCCTTAATAATTACAGCGCACATGGTCATGGGTGAATATATTTTCCAGATCACTTGGCCAACGTGACTGCTCTCACAAACTAAAATGTACTCCCATTCATATCACTCTTTCTCACTCTCATTAGAGGTCCTGGGAGGAAAGGATTTAGCAGAGTTGTGTGAATGTGCAGTGTTTCTGTATTACCCAGTGAAAACAGCTAGTTTAGTTGATAGTCATTGTAGTCATTGTATTTCTCCATTTGGGTTCACATTATAAAATCAAATTAAATAAACTGTTACTATTGGTCAGTTACCAGGATAAAGAAGAAGTAAAGTGAGTATGCATAAAGTTTTCAAGTGTTTCCAAGGCTTAAAAGTTCAATGAAATTTATGCACATTTCCACTGCTGAGAAAGTGGAATTTAAAATTCCCATTAAAACTACATAACATTTTTTTAAAATGTTTTCATTGAGACAAAGATTTTGTGATACTGATATCAACATTTTTTTTAAATTTTAAAAGTTTTTTCTTTCTGAACTTATCAATCCAAATTGTTTTGATATTGTCAAAATGAAAATCCAATTTTCCTAATGAGAAATAATTAAATAATTATAGGAATTAGTTTATAATAATACAGTAACTAGTTTGAATCTCAAGCTGAAAAAAAATCAAGGAATAAAAATAACAATGCAAACAGAATTGAAAAATTATATCATTGTTTTCAGATTTGTCCAAATGACTGATTTCAGAACACAAATTGAACACACATTTTAAAGGCACACATTTCTCGATAAATGGTTACAAAAATCTGTGAATATATTGACTTTTTAATCCCCATCTAGAAAGGAAAAGGAAAATTTTCACAGGAATAGAAGACCCTTTCTCATACTTTTCTATTCCAAGCAGGTATCTAAGCTGCATCTTTAAGTCCCTAAACATCTGTATCCCATAAATCTGCATACTTAATTGCTTTTGAAAATAAACACTTAAAAAATCCCTGCATTTACATCTATCCAGCTCATCATGACACATCTGATGGGTACCAAAGCCTCTGAGTCACGGAGGATACAGGTACCACAACACATTTCTTGCCACCTACTCTTTCTGTTGCAGGTGGAGTATATCTTCTGATATTTAGTTGTTTTCACAAATGTTTATCAAAAAGCATTGCTGGGTAGTAGGTCAGAAGGCACTGTGAACTGGGAAAAGAGAAACACTAGGCCTGCTTTTAGAACAAATGGCTGCTACATTACTCTTCCTGCAGTGGCATCTTAATCATTCATTTGTGGACATAACCTCTTTGTCCATCCAGTCCTATCCATCTTTTCCTGTCTTCTTCCTCTAGTGTATTTCACCAGTTCTCCTTTTTTCATTCATTGGTTTCCTCAATTTCCTTGCCCTTTATATCCTTAATTCACCTCATTCCATCTCCTCATGTTTCATACTGCCAACCCAACCCATCTTCTCTCAGTTCCGACTCTCACAAGCCCTCACTGCCTTTTGCTTAGAAACATTTAGTCAAGTTTGTTCCCCAGTTGCACACTCTGAGGGTGCCTTCCACATCTATCACATATGAAGTGCTTTGCTCATACCAACCTTAGTTCACACACTTGTTCCTGGACCTACAAAAGCAGTAAATAATCAAAAAAGAGAAAAAAAAATGTAGGGAGTTTTAGAACTTACATTTGGAGATTGCTGTGAAGGATCCATACATAAACCCTATTCCTTTTATTTCTTCTGTACAATTTCTTCTGTCAGTCTGCCACTGGAGTCCCTTGGTCTGCACTGTGAATACTACATGACATGCAGCACCTATTCTAGATGTGCGCTGTAGTTTTGGAGCTTGGCTGGCCTCTGGGCTTTTGGATTTACTTGCAGCAGAATTTAATTAGAAGTAGATTTAATTGACAAATATACTAACACAGATTTTGTTAAGCTTTCTTAGTCACAGGCGGCTAAAATTATAATTCTGTGGGGCTCAGTTCTTTAGTTCCTTTGAGTGAAGTAAGAAACATTTAAGATATCCAATGAGGCCTTATGTACAGAATTTTAGCAAGTTTCAGTCTTCAGGAACACTTGCCTTTTATTCCACTTTTTTGAATCTGAACATCACTAAATGCTTTCTTCTTTTCATTCTGCTCTCTGTTTTTTAGGATGCTACTTTTTTTTTTTAAAAGCATGCCTCAGAATGACATTCTAGAGCTTTACAAGAACATAACTTTAAAGTAGAAACAATGTATTTGTCATGTTTGGAGGCCCGCAGATAAATAATCCAGAAGCTGCCAGCATATTCAAGAGACACAAATAGAACGATGCCTTATGTGGTATGCTGATGTAAGATTATGAAAATGGTGGCAAAAGTTAAAAGGACTTTATGTATTTTGGTTAGAGGAAAAAAGGCAGTGAATTCTGTGTTCTCTGCCACAATCTATGTATTTTGAGCCTTGCTTTCTGAGATCTTGCTAGCATGTATAAAGAGTCTTCAGTCGCTCTTTATGATGCAAATTTGTTTGTCATTGATTTATAAGAGGTGACAGTATTAGACACTGATGTATCCAGTCTACCCACAGGACCTGGACAGCCAAGGCAACCTGAGGTGTTAGTTTCTTGGTAAATGTGACCCTCCTTGAACAGAGAAACTGATCTCTATAATCTTGAATTCTTGGTATTCTTGAAACATTGTTACTTCTAGTGAAATTTGTGGTAATATGATGGCACAGAGCACTGTTCTTTAAAAAGTGAAATACATCCTTAAAACATAATGAAAATAGTATCAAGTCTGTGTTTGGTCACATCTTGCAGGGATTAACATGTCTTAGTGAGGAGTCATTTGTTTTCAAGTTGTTTTCTTTCTGAAAACAGAAAAAGTACTGGTGGCTTTGTTTTTTCTCAATCACTTGCAAATTCTTGCTGACAGAATTAGTAGCAAGGTGGTTGTATGGGTACTTGATGTTATGCATTAAGCCCTTTCCTATTTCATGAAAGGTACCTGTGGGAAGAGAAGAAGGAAGACTAAACTGATCCTTGAGAAAAAAAGGCAAACAGATAACAAGTATTCCCAATGTTTTCCATCCCACAGAAATCTCAAATCAGTGTAGCCCTCTGCCATGCCATAAAGATGGATATAAGGATTGCATAGATGGACAAGCCAAATATACATGTGTCTGTAAACCAGGATGGCAAGGAGAGAAATGTGAAGAAGGTATAGTCTCTAATCTCATTATGCTGTTAGCTCTCAGGAACACTATTATAGTTCTGCTATTATTGAATAGTATCAGATCTTTAAGTATACCTACCCTCACACAGTTGGTCAATGAATGCCTTCCCCTCAGCAGAGATTTTTATTTTGTTTTCCTTCTAGATATAAATGAATGTGAAGACATAAATGGAGGTTGTAGCCAACGCTGTTCTAATTTACCTGGAAGCTACCGTTGTTTATGTGAAGACGGCTACTTCATGCATTCAAATAAAAGGGATTGTGGAGGTAGGAAGTGAGACTTAAGGAGAACATCATTACATGACAGTACATTGCCTGTTGACTAGAGAGGGGAAGGAATTTAGTCCAGTAGTTCCATAAATGCTCTAAGTCAGCAGAAGCTTGCATTGCCTCTGAAAGATGCAGTCCTGCTTCAGCTTGGCTACTCGTTCCACCTGCAGCCTTACACCACTGCAAGCATTTGGGCAACCGTATAGTGAACCAGATCGAGAAACTGAGGTGGGTTGAAACCAATTCAGGGAAAAAAAAAAAAAGAACTAAAAAAAAAAAAAAAAGAGAGAGGCTATAGATTAGATTTTGCTTCATTACTAGAGCTCCATAAAGCTTGTTTTGGTCACTAACCAGTTTCACGTACCTTTTAAGCATGCTGAAACAAGAATCTAGAGTGGTGCAATCAGCTAATATTGTTACCACGGAAATCCTGTCTGGTAAACACTGGTTTAGGCTGAATCACTCCTAATTAGTGATGCTGCTCTTTTGGGAGTTTGAAGTTCATTAGAGAAGAAACTATTAATGAATCTGAAAATGCTCTTAGTGGAGAGAAAGATTCGTCTTTTATTCATCCAGCATAATTTTTTTTCTGTACATGCTTGTGTCTGTTATTGTTGGCCATGACCTACATGCTTCATTCCATTCCAGAAAAAGACTATGTATTGACATAATTAGCAATTCTTACTGCATAGTTAGAAAAAAATACTACCTCATTCCATTTTAATGTTATATTTTATTGCCGAACTATGACAACAGTTTTGGTGAATGTCAAATAATTTAAGAGGACGGACTTAAGGGCCATCTCCCGCTGTCACGTCATTTAGTCTGTATATTATCGTGAATGAATAATTTCCAAAGAAATTCCAGAAGAACAGAAGATGGCTGTTTTGTCAAAAAGGGCAAGCAGATAAGTTGGTTAGAATCTCTGTAATTCTTGGAAAGATACTGGAAAAGCTGGTTAAAAAATAATCAAAAGATAAAAATACACTAATATACCTTAGTACCTAGAGTACTAGTTTGGTCATTTGATAAAGCAGATTTAAGTGTTTCATTACATCCAACTACAGAATTATACACCTAGGAATTTGGAGTACACACAGTAACTGTAGAAAAGTAGGCCAAATTCAGGACAGCTTTGACTTAAAAAATGTTTTGGAAGTCCTAGCAAGCTGGTGCCAGAATCTATTCTCCCTGTGCAGCACCATTTCCACAACTACTACAAAACCACAGAGAATACTAGAATGATCCCTGCACATACAAGTGGGAATTGAAGTACTACCAGGGATCTGATATTTTTCTGTCTACAAGACCTTTAGTAAGATTGATACTATATGCTGCCTCCAGTTGTCACATCTGCATTTTGAAAATGACATTGAAAAATTGGAAACAACATAGAAGATAGACACAAAAATGGTTTGAGGGATGGAGAGACAGCAAGGGACTTGAACACCTGTCAGCATAGCCAATTAAAAGACGATTGTGACATGAATTGATTGTAGCATGTAAGAAACTCTGATAGGATTATCTCTTGTCTTTCTGGATGTCTTTTTCTAAGATAGGATTTTCTTATGCAGTCTGGTCTAGCTTATAGGAAATCTGCAGACTCTTTCTCTCTATGCCTTCCTGGAAGTGCATCCCTTTTCCTGTTATCCACAGAACACATGAAAGCATGAGAAAGGTAGGCAGGCAGAGAATTCATTTTTCACTGAGGCCACGCAGAAGTGCCTTTTAGAGACCTCTGGAAATCTTTACGGCTATAGCTATAGTCTGCTATGAAAGCATGGTAGACCTAGCAAGAAAAAGCCAGTTTGCCAGCCTCACTCAGTTTGCACAGTTTTGGATAGGGTTAGGAAGAAAATGGTGCACAAGAGACAAATTTAATAACTTGTTTGTATTTCTAGATATAAATGAATGTGTGTTACATCCGAATATCTGTGGGACAGCCATCTGTAAAAACACCCTGGGGGAATATGAATGTGAATGTGCAGAAGGCTACACATATAATTCAACTTCCAAGAACTGTGAAGGTAGGCCTTTCTCCTCCCCCGCTCCCTGGCTTTTTTCTTTTTTTAATCCACTGCTATACCAAACTCCAGCATCTCATCTAGTGGTGTACTTATTAATCTTCATACTGTTTATTACAATATGACTCAATTGTTCTTTCAGAGGTTCAGTCAGGCTATATTACATGTAGTGTATACAGTTGCGATGACTTACTCCCAGACTTTGGAGGGTTTTACGGTATACTCGGGTGTTCTGCTCTTTGCCAGATAACTTTCTCAGTTCATGGGAGCTCTCCTGTCCCACTGTAGAGAGGACTTTCTGTCCAAGCTCTCAAACCAGCTAGCATATTTCTTTCAGATAACTTGGAGCAAAGTGTTGAGGATCTGCACATTAGTAGAGTGTCTTGTGCCTTGTTTTTAAGCATCATTACAGTTATAAGGATGGAATATTTGATGTCAATCAGTTCAATATGTATCCCTAACTCAAGACAAGCTATAGCAAAAGCAATTAAAAGTACTTATTTGGCAATTCCAAACTGGGCAAGACGGTTAGGAAGATTTATAAAGAGATAATCACCAGAAATGAAAACTGTACTTAAAAACTTCAAAAACTTGTCTTTATCCATCTGATGGGCTGTTCAGGTGCTTATTTAGTTCTCATGGCCAGGGGCTCAGTCTCTGTCCTTTATATGTCCTTAGATCTCAGATATTGGAAAGAGCTTTTCACTGGGGTCATTGAATTCCACTTAAAATAACATCTGTCTAATCCTTCCTCAGGGTATCTAGTTATGCTAGAAAATAACAGCGTTAGAGTAAGCTGATCTCCATTCTAGGCTGGAATGGCAGTATGGCAGTTGTATAGAAGATTTTATTTAAAATAAAATGTTCTTAAATGCCCAGAAAAGGACCTATGAAAAAAGGAGCTGCACCAAAAGAATCTTTCTTCAGGACTATTCTTTTCTGAAATGAAAATCTGGAAGAAAGAATTTCAAAACAAAGTTCTGTAACAATTATAGTAAAATTGAGAAGTACTGACAGCTAGCAGTAAAGCAGCAAGAAGCCATTCATACACAGACCATCATAAAGTATTTGTTTAATTTTCCTAGAACGTATTTTATTTCTCTCTACTTGTAAAAGTTTCTGTTTAGTACACACATCAGAAATTAAATTTCAGTTGTAGAAGCGATATATAAGCTCTTTCTTAGAGTTTTACTATGAAGAGGAATTTTCTACATTGCCATTTTAAGAAAAATACATCTGTGACTGATTTTTAAATGCTGCCTTTATGTTATTGCTCAAAAGGACACAAAACTAGCTTCTTGCTGGCTATGAATCTTCTGTTCCATGGCTTTTTGTGCAGCTTTTTTGTGACAAAGCTTTGCATAGTGGCAATGATGACATATTCAGATGTCTGCTCCTTGTCCAGTTACTACAGGATTAAAATGTTACTGCAATTTTGTGTCCCTGCGTGCACTGAAATGAGAAAAACTTCACAGTCATTAATCTAATTCTCGCTCCTTTTAGTCCTTTTTGCAGATACATGGGTTGCATCAAATTGAATTTAAGTATTGTTTTTCTTCTGAAACGTGGATTCCGGAAGGTTGCAAGATGAGGACATTAAAATGAGCAAAGTCTTACCTCCTAGAAGGAGGATTATGCTGCTAAGCTTTCAGACCTTGTTGTAACCACATTAAATGAGTCACCAAATCCTGTCGAAGGACAGGATTGTGCAGACTGACAGGAATGTAGCCTTACAGAAATACTAAATGACATTAGCTTTTCATTGTCATATTGCGTGTAGGTGGCCAAATTAAATTATGCTTATTAGAAAAATCAAATTTACATACATTTATGCACAACTATCTCTGTGATGACAGATCCAGTTAGAGTGGAATAGAAGAGAGAGAGTTTGGGGTTATTTTTTCCTTACCCATTCCCAGGAGAATGTTGCTGCAGTTCTTCATCCCCACCTTTTGGGAGACACTATCAGTGGAAGATATCTGTACAGTCCAGTCTTTGTTTCATAGAAGCCATGCAATTTTGTATGCAGAATTTGATTACCTTCTTCTCACCACCTTTGCAATTTCAAACACCTTGCCAAAAGAAGGGGTAGTGGGAATGAGTAAGTATGCTTATTGTGCTAGAGGGGTCTGTCTTGCAGTCAGTACTGAGGGAAAAACCAAGCTGAACCGGTATTTTAAAGAATGACCTAAGTTTTGGCATGTCTTGCCCCATATTCTTCCTTCTCTGAAGGGGGAAATTCTCTCAAAAAAGTGACTGAACCAGTTAATCAAACAGCACAGAGTATGTCTGTATTTCACTTATTAGTCCCTCCCTAGCACTAGTGTGAAAATTTGAGACAAGGAATCAGGGTTTCCCCTTCCCACATGAACAGTTTAACACACAAAAAATCCTGCCTACCTTCATCCATGCTCTGGGGAAATCACCGTATTTCCCTAGGTTTATACAGAGTAGCTCCCTTCCAAGACAGGGTATGCAGCTCTTTTGTGGCTGATTTTATCATAGCTTAGCAGCTTACCTGAAGCAAGCTATTTTAGCTTTCCACTGAAAGCAGCTGTATAAACCCAGGATGCTGCTCAGGTTCATGGGTTTGTGCAAATAGCTTCTACTGACTGCTTTATGATGTGGGACGGACATTTGGACAGATCTGTGGGAAGCCTTTGAAAGAGCTCAAACAAACATGCAAAGATGCTGACTACAGCTTGGAAGAAAAAAAAGCAGGATAGTTATAGCATAAATGATTAAAACAAACCTCGAGAAAACTTGGTCCCCTCCAGCCTGTGCATGTCAGCATTTCTGTAGCAGGACAATTAACTACGCATGGGGAGATCCTGCCATTTGGACTGATCAGGGATTCCAGAATGTCTGCTGAGGAAGGAGACTTCATACCTATCCAAGAAGCTTTCCTGTCCCTCTGCTGCTATAGTACACTCTGGAGGGATACCTTACCCTTGAGCAGTAGGTTCATTTTGGGTAATGGAAATTTACACCCCTATAAGACTGGTGCAAGTCTCTGAGTAATTGATTTAATGATAGATATTCATCTCCCAAACTGTGTGATAAACTTTCATAATAACTTCATAAGTCTCTGTCTGCAGGCCCGGGGCCTGAAGAACATGCTCAAAATTAACTACTGCTTTCAGAGAATTCAGCACTCAGATTTACTGTAGTGCTACTGGTTACCCAGTGCTTGTAGTTTTACTTTTGTACTGCTGTGCATTCAAGTACTGGAAGGGGTACAGGATCTTTCACAGAGAACAATGACTCATAAAGTGTCTACACAGAGTCATGCTCCTCTGGGAAGTGCATGGGAAACGAGGTGCTTCTTGGAGTCTCTCTACTCCAATTGCTCTTGGGAGGTGTTAGATTTTTTATTTCCTTTTACATCTCCACAGTGAAGCAGGCTATAGGCTTGGGTGTTTGGGGTTGTTTGGGTTTTTTTTTTTCTTCTCTCTATGCGCTTAGGCCTAGATCAATTTCTTGTCCTTTTCAGATCCCAAAATGATCATAACTAGAAGGAATTTTTTTTTTTTTTTTTCCCCAAAACAGGCAGGATAGGAAAGGACACAGAAAGTGTTCTTTTCACCCATGGCACATTGTGGCTAGGCTACATTTTGGATTTTGTCATTGCCTCATTTGCATGTTAGCCAGGATGCACAAACAACAGTGACAGAAGCAGCTTCACATTGTAACACATCATCTTGTAGTCTTAGTTTTAATTAGACATCAGGTTGCCAGTCTCCAGAAATTATTAGGAAGTGACTTTCCCAGCAGAACCCCTTTCACCAAGCTGAGCTTGCAATCTACTGGGTTAGAGAACCCTCATCAAGACCATAAACAGTTTAATGATTTCTAAATGGAAAGGAGTACACATGCCAAACAAAAGAGTAAGAGGTAATCTAGTTGTAGCTGGAAGAAATGAAGGGGTCAATCAGTTGCAAATATGCATCAGCAAATTATTTCATAACAGCTGACAAAATCCTGCCATGTGACTAATGCCCAAACATTGTCTCCAAAGCATATGGAAAGAAGTTTGAATAAGACTTCAAAATAAGCACTTAGATATTGCAACCCACCCTTGCACCTTACTGCCCTAAGTGACAGAGGCCAAAATGAATGAAATAAGTAGTAATTAAACCATGAGTAGGGGGGTGGTAATTTACAGTTGCAGGAATCTGCACATGTGTGCATACATATATACATTCGGAGTTACACTTTTTAACAGGACAGCTTTCTCAAATCTGAGCAAGGATAAAACTCTTAACACTAGCAAACATTCATCTCTGAAGGGACTGTAATTTCAGACACAGTCACAATTTAATTTATATGCTCATTATTTAAAACTAGATTGATTTATGAGGATGCAACACAGAAAACATCTGCAAAATGTCAGATCAACATGAAGAAACACCCAGTACTGTTTTTCTATATTAAAAATTCCCTTTACTCACTTAGCTGACATTTTGGATAGATGAAGCAGTTGAAGGAGTAGAAGAAGAAGTGAAGAATCTCCTACATAACCTTTTCTGCAGCTATGAACCCAGGACCAGTTAGAACTTGAACAATCCAAAAAGCCAGTCATCAACTCTCCACTTACTTATATTTTAGGAACTGTCTTCCAATATCAAATCTTTTCCCCAGAACGGGAAAACAAACTGGCAGTGCTTGCTTGTCAAAGGCTTGAGGTCTTCCATGTGTCTTTATAACCCAGTGTATCCTCAGAGAACCCTCCTGGGACAGGCAGTGGAACTGTGTACAGAGCAGTTGGTTCAAGCTCATTGTTTATAGAAGTACCATGACAGTAATGCAGAGAACTCCCATTAAGAACCTTGTTTCTTTTCCCATCCCTCACCCCCTTCCAGGGGAGAGAGCTCTTCTGGTGAAATGGAAGCAAGGAGGTGGTGGAGCTGGCTGTAGAGTGCTAATGCCATGTTGAATTTTACACAGCTTGAATATACTAGATATCTGTATTGCATCCTATGCCTTTCAACAGAATGCCCAAGACACTTGACAGGCTTCTAGCATACAGTGCAATCATTCTTAAACTTGTTAAGCTAGCTCAAAATGGCACTGAAACTCTTTCCAAAAAAAGTGGGGGAGGAAAAACCTCACTGTTATATTCCATCAGCCTGCTACACAGCAGATGGTTCTCAGCTTAGCAGAGCAGAGGTAAGCAACCATTCTGGAGCTAATAGAAGTGACTCAGAAGAGTCCTCAGTAGTTCATGCAAAGAGTGAACGTGAAAGTTGGTATCACACAGACCAGCCTATGTAAAGGGCCATCCAGCTTCTGAAGATCAGAGGGTAGAATGGGAGATGAGTGGAAGGAGGTAGAAATTATGCAAACACTAGCACAAGACCGTATTTGAATCCTGTAGCTTACACAGCCACACATCAGACTGCAGGAAGACTGACACAGCATGTGACTAGATCTTGAGCAGAACTTTGGTTCTGGCTGTATTAGCTGCAGTACAGAACAGTACAGCTTTTTCTTCTGGTAAGATCACGTACAAAGGAGTGTAAGCCTGAGCACAGAGCCCTTGCAGTGATGACTTACGGCAAAGGTGAGGAAGAGAAGACATTTTAGTAATAGGAAACTCTTCAGCTGAACATTGAGACCAGTTTCCTCAACCTATTCATGAACTGTTGGCCATTTTAATGCTAGTACTTGACAGTAAAATAACTTGCCCAGGATTATTAACTGCAGCAGAGGTAGGAATCAGAGTAGCATCCACAAGCTGTTAAACATAGTAGCATGTTTTGGACAAGAGATTATGCATGGTCACTACAAAGTAACAGTTTCTCCAATAAGGTTTTGGTGTGGCTTTGGTGTTTTTTTTTTTCTTGGGTTTGGGTTTTTTTTTTCCTTTTTGTCTCTCCTCCCCCAAGCAACAGAAAAAAAGTATTTTAATCTTTAAAAGAAACCCTAGAATAGTATAAAACCGATTTTTTTAAATGCACACATTGGCACAAAATTGATTATTCCCACTAGAAGGGCCATTTCTTTCAAAATAAGTATTGCAGTTTCTTTAATGTGAGGCCCAAAATCACCCTCATTAGAGTATCTTATCCAGGAGAGATTTTGTTTGTTTCTGTATTGGAAATGTAACAGTTACATTGACCTTTTACACAGCCTTTCATTGCTAGATTATTTATTGTGTACAGCCTACTAAATAGAAAATGAAGTTCCTTTAGTTGGTTTAGCTTATTAGCAGCTCAAATCAGATTGGTGTCCACAAATAGATGCTGTCTGAAACTTATTTATGAGATGATTGTATGTTATTTTAAAAAGTATTTTGCTCTGAGATTATTTTGGTTTTATGAGAATAAAGCACATCCTTTCTCTACATACTTGCCATATATACTCCTAATACTCTAAGTTCTCATGACATCTTATAGGGAAAGGAAGAGATCTGGCCCAGAATGGCATTTCTGCCGTAAATGGTAGTGATTTATTGAGCTCTCTTTCACTAATTCAGCCACCTTACAGCAGCCTCTTACTGCCTACAAATCAGACCAGGTTTTCCCCAGCTCTGCACACAAGACCTCTATGAAATTACTAGGTCTTGTACACCCAGCAGATAATTTTGGATTGTAAACTTTGCATAGGAGACATCCATTAGCATTAGTTTAGCTTAGCAGCAGTCACCTATTGGATTCATGTTATGCCAGAGAACCCATCTTGTCCATTATTCCATTAATTTATTGTGTTAGTTTTCAGTCTGTGCCATGAATAATCTGAATAAATCTTTCTGCATGCTTCCATTTCTCCTAGATATTGATGAATGTGCTGAAAATGTTTGTGCTCAACTCTGTGTAAACTCTCCAGGAAGTTATAGCTGCTATTGTGACGGCAAGAAAGGATTCAAGCTCTCTAAGGACATGAAGAATTGTGAGGTAAAACTACACTATGTAAAATTCCATGCAGAAGATCATAATGTTGGATATTTCTTGATGACAGGAAAAGTTAGATTAAGGAAAATTGGAAGCTATTTAAGAACTGATTCAAAATTGCTGAGAAAGTGCTGGGGACTCTGAGCTGTGGTTTGGCTCACAAAGCAGACCCAGTAGGGATTTAGGTGCCATTCAGTTCATGCATGCTCATTTACAGGAATCCTGTCAAGGGAAGCTTGCCTTAGCCAGTCATCTTTATTCCCTGCTGCTACCAAAATAAGCCCCAGCCTTCTCCTATCAAACAAATAATCCCTCTTCAGCTTACTCAGAGCCAGAATACTCCATTTGTCCATATGTTCCCAGATTTTCCTTAGACTGCACAAAAGTTTTCACTCACTCTTTCAGAATTACTCTATGCTTTTCCTGTTCAGGTTGAAAAAAATGGATTGTTTTCCACAGTTCTCATCTGCCATAGCTTAAGAAAAAGCACTTAGTAATACTTGCCAATTGAAGAACATCTCAGCCAAAATCGGCTGTTCTTGCTCAGTTTGAAAATTTACATTTCTTAGTAGCAGAAAGTTTGAATCTCTGGAGAATCCCAGTTCAAGGATTTTCTTGTGAGTGGTTCTCTGTATACTTTGAAAGGTTCAGGCAGGCTGAGACTTGTTATGCTAAGTGAGTTCAGATAACTGCCAACAAGAAACCCCACCTCTAACAGTATAACAAAATTGGGCTTAAACTGTAGGAACAAGGTCTGACACAAGTTCTAGCATGTATGTATTAGATCTTGTTTGTACTTTCTGAAATTTAATATCTGAACAACACCTGCAGTCATTATATTTCATTTTGCTTATTCATGAAATAGGAGGAGCATCTTCTAGCCTCATTACATGTTATTTTCAATACTGTTGTTCAAAAGTGATTAACTCTCTGAAAGCTAGTTTCACGCCTTTTAATTGGAAAAAAAAAGTGCAATCAGCTGAAAATATGTGCAATCTGAAGACTAGTGACACTAGCAGACATAAAATGAAGCAGCCATAAAATTCAGGATGAACACCTATATATTTAATGAAACTGCTGCGTAGTGAATACAGAAGTCAGAGTTTGGGAACTGCATTGTTAACTTTTACCAAAGCACAGCATGTCTTGAGAACAGAAAAGCCCTTCACACCTGTTCTTGATTGTTCTGTAGGACTACTATACTGCCATCATATAGAAGATATTCAAGGGGTGTTTTGAGGGATAACTTTCGATCAAAGAGACTTTTAGGCTCCTACTAGTCAATGAGACAGGTGCTCTAAACCACATTCTGGAAGAGTCTTCCCACCTCTCTCCACATGCAGAGCCTAGTTCCCTGTACCAAAAGGAAATCCGAATGCTTGACTTTTAAAACAAAACTGTAGATATTACTAATTATAACATCACAGTTTCAGAAGACAAAGAAGTCAACAATGCCTTAGAATGGATACCTGGCATTTGTTTACTGAATGTTTTACTAGTTCAAACTATACCACACACGAAATAGACATTATTCCTGGGTATAAATGTCTTTGTTTAAAACTTCAGGTAGATGAATACCTGAAGGAATAAGCACCATTTTTTCCCCTCTCATTGCAACTACAGTTGGCTGACTGTGATTACTCACACTGACTTTGGCTAGAGCATTAGGATTAATCCCAGTTTTACATACTGTTGTAGGCCTTTCAGTTGCCACAAATACTTAGAACTTCTGTTACAGTTTTCCTGAGAATCAAGTCTTAAGAGCTTCATATCCCCACTAACAGTTCTCAGAAATACTAATTCAGTGCTACTCCAGCAGTCATTGTGGTGTTGATTTCATCAGCATGCCTTTCCAGAGCTCAAATAGGACAAGTACATTCAAGGAACAGCCAGATAGAAACATTTTCTTTTAATCCATTACTTAATCCACTTGTAAAATGTTACTTTTTATTCCAGGTAAATGATTCTAGTAGTACTAGAGATTGTTCAGCTATGAGTAGTTGTACATCAATACTGATAAAGAAAATAAAAGGTGGGGTTTGTTTGGGGGGGGGTTGTTTGTTTGGTTTTGTTGGGGTTTTTTTAATTATTATTAAATCTTCAAGGCACAGCTCTGGCCCCATTCCCTTCTAACACCTGATGAGGTTTAGATTCCAGACAACTTTAATAATGGAGCCTGGCAGGACCCTTGTAAGTGCGTGTCACAGGTCCCTGGTGAAAGAAAAGTTCCTGGTGGAAGATTTGAATTCTTGATTCAAATACTAAATATTTAAATATTAGTTGCAATCCACCAGAACTGTGTTTCAACCTGAATTGTCCTCCAGCAGCTTAAATAATGGACATTTCAAGCAAAACCAAAAACACACCCCTTCATTTGTACATAGGTATTCAAATTTAAAAAAAGAAAAAACAGAAAAAGAAAAAGAGAGGTAAGCCATTGCTTTAAAAAAAAAAGAAAAAAGGGACAGGCTAACAATAGGAGTTGCTTCATGAACTATCACAATGCACTAACAGCTTTTTTTATTCTCTACCATTTTCAGTCTGTTACTGCATGTATCCCACTGAACCTTGAAAAGAATTATGAACTGCTTTACCTGGCAGAGCAATTTATAGGAATTCCTGTTCTGTACTTAAAGTTTAAATTGCCAAATGTCACGAGGTAAGCATTTGCTATTAAGAAAAGTATGCACTGAAATGATGAACATTTGTTTCCATGAATTTTCTGAGGGTTTAGGAGTGCATTGCACGCACTAATTATATCACCATCTCCCCACTGGTTAAGATACTTTTATATGAAGAATGAATTGACTCGGGTTCCTATGTATACTAGCACTTAGATGAAGCTGGACTCATTTGAAAGTGGACAGACAAGAGTGTCTGGACTCAGTTTACAGCATCTTTTATTGGTTGTACCATGTCCTTGAGCCACCTCATCACTACAGACAGCAGTTCTTGTACATGGCAAAACTTTTAGTTCAGCAAAATACCTCAGAAACAGGTAGGAGGTATCAACAGCTGTGTCCAAGCCAGGAAACAGTGCACAGGTAGGGCAAGACATACACCACTGGCATTCAGACGTGATCATATCTATGAATAACAGAGTCCAGCCATTACAGTCCTGGTTACCAGTGCTGTTGTAGGGAGAGCTGTATAGACTGGAAGAAAGAGTTCAAAGAGATCCAGACTTGAATGGGCAAAAAAGGAAGAGGATTGAGGGCAGTAAGTCCCATTGGTTTGTGGGCAAGAGAGCAAAAAGATTGGTGCTTCCTCATGACAGAAGCTTACTCTTCCTCTGAAGGAAAGAGCAGGGGCTGGGGAAGGTAGGAGGCAGTGATACAGATAGAGGAAGGCATTTAGAGTTCTCAACATAAAATTCAGATGTTATAGGAAGATAATTACAGCGTCTATTTATATATGGGAATGGCTTTCATTTGGATGTTGCTGCTAGTTCACTTCTGCTCTGGGTAGAAGCTGTGACATGCTACACACATACTGCTGAGAAACAAAACCAGGCAGATGCTTCCCTCCCACCCCTGTGCTTCATTTCACAGGGTGTTCCAAGGACACCGATAGAGCGCTGTACCTTGTCTAGAGTGCTGTCTGTATGATTTACTTTACAGCTGTCAGAACAATTGCTAATAGTAGTGACCCCTTTATTACTCCTGGATTTCTTCGCTGTGGCAGCTGAAATTGCAGTGTTCCTTGACTTACTGACTGAACAATTTGAGGGTAACAGCAGCAGCAGCAGCTGTTGAGCTGGTGATCCCCAGAGCCTCAGAACCTTAGAGAAGGACATAAATATTGAGAACTTTTTCCTCTGCTGCTATTCCAAGTTGACCAGCCATTAATGCTCTCCTGGAAGACCTTTCTAAGATGATAAATGTTTGAAGGTATCTTCGTAGTCTCTGTAAATACAGAATGATTTTTCTGTGGGTCTGCGTGAGAGACAATGACATCTAGTGGACAAAGAACAAGACTGAGAGTGAAAGCAAAGCAAGTTGTTAATTACAGCTCCCTTACTTGTTCCTTTTGTTGTCTTCAGCAAATCCTAACTTCCAAATGCTTTGTTTTCTCCTTTCATCCTTCATCTAGTTTATCTAGTCCAAGAGTTCTAGGAGACAAGGACTGTTTTTTGCTGTACTTGTACTCTCTCTCTTCCACTGTACAGGTGGTACCATGTAAACCATAATTCTGCTACATACACACATTCAACCAATTGCCAAGATCCAGGTAACAAATCCTCAAATTAGAGAATGACATGTAAGAGGCAGCAGTAACCAAAGCAAATTGCTAGGTTGTAATTGTTGTAGCACAACACTTGGCAACCCTGTTGTACTGAAGCACATCATAGATCATGAATTTTTTCCCCATCACATCTCCATGAAATGCAATAGGAATGAATATTACATCTATCTTTGTACTCAAGGGGGTGCGTATCCTTCACACGTAAAGCTCATAGCAGATTTGGGAACTGAGCCAAGGCTCTTTCAAATCCCAGCTCAGGGTGCTAATCTCAAAACTTTTCACTGGATTCAGATGAACAAGGCATACGTTATTAGATTCTGCTTTTGACTAATTGTGTGCAAATATCAGAACTGCTCAGATAGATACAGAGTTACCAAAAGGTTAGTATCTATGAACTTTTTTTTTTTTACTCTATTAATGAGTTATCCTAGGCTACACAGTATTTCACATTTCCTGTCTTCTTATTAAGATTCCTTCTTCACAACTCAGATTTACAGCAGAATTTGATTTCCGGACATATGATGCAGAGGGAGTTATACTATATGCAGAATCCCTTGACAATACAGCATGGATCTTGCTTGCTGTTCGTGATGGGAAGATTGAAATTCAATTCAAGAATGAGTTTGGAACAAAAGTCACCAGTGGAGGCAAAGCCATTAATGATGGACTATGGCATATAGTAAGCTGGGTTTTCTTTTCCCCTTTCCTTCCTTTAACCCACTATGGGAACATTCTTGATAAGTAAAGTAGGGAGAAACTAAGCAACTATTAAAAAGGCTTAAAATGATGCCCTCAAATCCCAGATTTAAAAATCAACCAAGAAATCCACAAGAATGCCTTATATCTGGGAAATCGTGGCACCTGTTTACGATCAAGAAAGAGGTAACTACCACTAGCTGGCAACATAGGAATTATTCTTTGTAATCATGAAAAAGGAAGCAGCAGAATATTAAAAAGTGTGATTGCATGGTCAAGTGCATAGTTACTTAATGCTTTGTCTAGAGAGCAAGTTTTACATTTGCTAGACCAGAAATCCATCTTATTCTTCAAGGTTGCATACCTAGGATGAAAGGCCTTGGTCACTTACACCACCTCTAAATCACACCAGATTATTAACACCAGTTAGGTTTTGTTTGGTTGGTTTTAAAAGGGGGCAAGAGAAGCTAGGATTCTGCATAGACTTCCTGTTTCAGTTCAGTACAACTTCCTCGAGATTAAAAATCCACTTTGATGCTTAGTAATATCAGGAGCAAGCGTTGAACCCATTTAGTCTACATCCCATCTGAAGATTCAATCCTCTGTAGCAGGTTGCAGTGACATGGACAACTGTATGCCAAATGTGGATTGGATATAGAGCAGTTGTAGAAATCAACTTCTTGCAAACTCTAAAGCAAACTAATCAGCTGCATGGGTTTTCCCAGGGGTAGGATGAGGGTGGAATGTAAGATCATCCTCCTGTGGATGTCCATGGATATGGACAGTTGTCGTGATTCAAGTTTAAATATGCTGTAAATATTGACTGCATTAAAACTATTTTACAAGTTAGGTATTTAGAGAAACATTAGTAATGCTTCATACAGACATATGTAATTAGTATTTAAAATATTCTACATGTTTGTCTGTTTATATGTAATTATTTGTATTTAATTCTAGATATCGGTTGAAGAACTAGAACACAGCATCAGTGTAAAAATAGCTAAAGAAGCCGTGATGAGTATCAACAGCCCAGGAACTCTTTTTAAACAATCACAGGGTTTCTTGGAAACTAAGGTGTACATTGCAGGATTACCTCGCAAAGTGGGCAACACTCTTGTTAAACAGGTAACTAACATAGTAAGAGTAATGTTGATTAATGCCATTCTGTTATTTGTTCGGGTTTGTATTGTTTACTTAGTAGTCACAGGGGAAGGAAGAGTGGCATAGAATCCATTTAGAAGATGAAAATCAGGTTATTAAACCACTGTTTTGAAAATAAACATGCATGAAGCTTTGTAGTCTGTCTTCAGTTAGGTTTCAGTTGAAAAAACACAGCACTTATGGTCTAATCTTTCAGGATTCTGTAGCCTGTTTCCTAATATAGCTTTAAGATTCCCTAAATCACCACCATTTCTGCTGTGAGAGCATTTCAGAATGATTCATGTTTCTAGTGCTAGCTTTTGCCAGGCTCTGAATAGGTATGGAATTCACTGTGCAGGCAGGCAGCACAATGAGCTTTCATTTTTATTAGGTTTTATAATAGCCCAGGCTAGACATGGCCCATGATTCTTTCAGTCTTCCATCCTCAACAGCTCTGTCTTATGCTGGAGATGGGTACAGTCAAGTTGTTGCTAGTGTCTGCATCACAGTCCAGGAGCCCTCAAACTAATTGGCAGTCTAAACAGAGAGGCAAAAAGTTACTGTACAGTAGAGGCTGCACCTTTTTTTTTTCTAATTAAATCCATTTTTGCTCAAAAGTGAAACAGAGAGAAAAAATATGAAGCAATACAACAACATCCCCTTACCCAATAGAAAGTAATTCCAGAAATTTCTTTGTACTTTGGCACAAGGAGAAGATGAAACCTTGAACAAGGAACAGTGCTAGTGATCATTGTCTTTTGGCTACAGAAAAGCTGTTGTGACCTAAATGAAAGGACAGCATGAGCTTTAAAAATTGAAGCAATCTATTTTGTACAGATCACTGGCATCAAAATGGGAAATGTTATTAAATCAGAAATACCTTTTGAAGGCTGAGGTCCTAAATGCGTCCCATTTGTTTTCTCCCAGCATCAGTACTGTAACCTATAGCACCAATAGGGCTATTATTGGCTACCCAGAAATAAGCTGATATGTAAAGTAACGCCTTATTAACATTTTTAAAACAACTTTGAATGCAAACACCTAGTGCTGTAATTCTTCTACAGATTAACCCTCGGCTAGATGGGTGCATTCGTGCCTGGAACCTGATGAATCAGGGACATTCCGGTGTAAAAGAAGTTATTCAAGAAAAACAAAGTAAACACTGTTTAATAGCAGTGGGGAGAGGATCCTTCTACCCTGGCACTGGAACAGCAACATTTCAGATAAACTATAGTAAGTATTTTTCTGTCTATTCCTTTATTTTTTGCTGGACTGGTGATGGAACTGATGAATTGTTGAAAGGAAGAAAAAAAAACAACCCCACACTCAAACTAAACTATACGCCACTGCATTCAGCAATGATTCCCATAACTTCTGTTAGAAGTTTGCTTGAATGAGAATTCTGATCCCATTGGTGCAATCCATTTAACTTCTGAAGTGCTTTAGGTTGGGAAGTGTATCTTTTATTTGCAAAGGATGGGTGCTGTTGAACACATTCACTTTCCAAAGATCTAATTCTGACCCCTGTTCATCAATGGGAAAAGCTATCACATTACTGACAGAAAAAGAACATTGAGGACGGAGAAAAGGATCGCTGATAGTTTTGTGTATGCAATTGTGCTTTTAAATGAACATCCTACGTAGATGTTTTAGGTGCATCTCTTGCTCCTTCCTGAACCCAGAACTTTCTTGCCTGACCTCCTGCCCTAATTTCAAAATTTCCAATCCAGAATCAACTTGTGCACACCCGAGAGCCCAAAACAAAACATCTCTTGAGCATCATCCCAAATCCAGTTTTCATTATGCTATTCCCCATCGCAAATGCTATGCCACCCTTCAGCCCTGCTCTTATCCCCAATCCTCTTCATCCCAGGACTTGCTATTGTTTCCTAGGCCTTTTCTTTAAATTCCCTAGCCTACTTCAGAAGATTTCTCCAGCTTTTTATATTCTATTCTTCCAACCAACTTATATCACGGTTTCATATGCCATTCAAATTTCCTTAACTTTCCTCCCATTCATTCATTAACACCCTGCTGCCATGACTCATCCTGACCTTTGTGTTTGGGGCTGCTGCCATGACTTCACCCCATCTCCTTTCTATTCTCACACCCCGACCCCAACACCGAGAGGCTGCCCACACCTACTGCTACCCTTCTATGAGCTATTATAGCCCGCTGTCTCCCTGCCCATTTGGCTTTGTGCAGGGATACAACCTCACCTCATATTTTAGGATTTCTGCTTCCTCAAGAAATTACTAGAAATTGAGAAACTACTAGCTTTGACTTTGGGGGCGGGGCGGAGAGAAAAGGCACTGGAAGAAAAGATACAAAGATCTCAAAACGTCAAATATCTCTTTAAACAGTAATTCTTATATTAGCTTCACTATGAATGCATTATAGGAAATTATATTTGCACCATCTGCATATTTACTTTACGCACCTGCATATTCCCATTTTAATAGTGGAACTGCTTTGGAATGTAAAATTGTAGAATAACTGCCAATCTTCTACTAAGTGGAAGCAATTTATGAGTAAATTAGTTTTTTGGGTTTAATCTTGAACTGACCTCTAATGAATGTGGCACCTATTCCACATTAGAATGGAGAAGGTAGCAAAAAAAAAAAAAAAAAAAGACAAATAAGCACAGAAGATTAGGGAAGATGCAGGATTAAAAGTTTTTCTTTTTTTTTTTTCTTTTTTTAAAGACTCACAGTTCTTTCTGAAAATTCCAAAGTTCACTGTTTTTTCTGGAGATTAGTACTAATTTTTCCACAGTGGGAGCAGACTAAATGCTAATTTTTAACACCATATTAGTTTTTCATTAGCAGATGGATTTATTAATTTCAATTATTCTTTTTAAAACAGATAATCTTGACAGTGCTGAAGATTGGCTAATAAATGTGACACTGACTATTCGCCCATCCACAGACACTGGTGTTATGTTTGCCTTGGTTTCTAATGAAACAGTGCCTCTTGCTTTGTCCATAGTGGACTCTAACTCCTCTGACTCACAGGTGATCTTACAATTATCATAGCAGCTGATACACATATACGTCACACCTCTTGTTTTTGTCTCACTTAACTTACTACTCCATTTGTGAAAAATCAAACTAAAAAAAAGCTACTCACGCTTATTTGCGGTGGAGCTGGTAGGCTGAATTAATATTTTGAAAAAGCACTTAGATCATATAGCGATGTGCAGAAAATGTGTTACTCTTAATGATTGCTACAGCAGTGACTAAGCACTAACTGCTCTTGTGTCAGGCACTGTCCATTACATCACATCTTCTTCAACCTTTCCTTCCAAATGCACAAAGCAGAAAGGGGAATATGGCAGAAGTAGAATGATGATACTATAGTAATGGCATCATGTTACTTTCAATTTATAAACAGACATTTTGTCCTTAAGTTTCCATTTACATCTGTTTACATCAGGCATCCTGAGAGAGCATGATTATACACTATGGCTAATCCGTGCTTTTGCCTGAAATAAGAACCTATAGCGAACACTTCGTTACCTTTGAAACTGTAGCAGTACTCCTTTTGCCTGTAAGAGAAACAGGATTTCACCTCAGAACCATAGCCAAAGATTTTTTTACAGTGAACATTCTGACTTATAAATTTAAGAATATAAATGAATGGTATTCATCACCAAAGGTGATGATTATACAGCAATTTTAGTAACTTATCCAACTTAATGTACTAGTTTTTAAAATGTGGCTCTAACATTTCCTTTTCTTCTACTTCCAAATATAAAATGCATCAGAACTAAGTATAATTGTGTGTTAAAGTTATATGTGACATCTTTTGTGACCTACCATTCTTCCATTTAGAAAATCATTGTGACCATTGGAAACATCACTGTTGCACATCTGGAATCAAAGAAGTTATGTACACCCAGGAAAGTTCTGGTTGGACTTCTAGTGACCAAACAGCAACTTGAACTGTCTGTTGATTCACACACAGTCAGAAGCAATTCAGAGCAGCTGTCTATCCTGCATCAGGCAATGATGGCAAATGTTGTTACCTACTTGGGTGGCCTGCCAGGTGAATTCTATTTCTTTTCATTAATTTGATTATTTGTACAAGCCTGATTATATTCAGCCTTACCCAAGCTAGAAAAAGTCTACAACTGTACAAAAAACCCTCAGGTTTTTTCCCAAGTGATTCGTATTTCATCCATTCTATACAGCTTCTGAGGGATCCTGCTTTTTGACAATAGCATTATTAGGCCCATTAAAGGGCATGGGTCTTTCTCTAGAGGTTTGAAGTCTTGATTTTTGAGCTAGGGAGGAGTGAGCATTGCGTATTTCTGATATGCCACCAGCTGGCACAATTTAGGAACTGCATCAAGGATGTAAGAAAAACAGGCATTTTTAAGTAAATTGTCAGAAGTGCAGAAGGAGAGGTCAGGTTTCAGTAATTAAACTCTGGGCAATAGATGACTGGCAATCTTTGAGACAGAAAATGTGTTGAAACAGCAAATATTTTGATTAAAGCAAGCTGCAAGCGTATCCCCAGTCTTAAGACATGTACAAATGTTATTTTGTACAGGAAGTGTACGCATGCTTATCTGTAAAATAGTTTGACTTCAGGCTGAATCGTGAAGAAAAATAGCATTGCTGCAGACAAGGAATTTGCAAAGCCTAAGGTCTTGAAAAGAACTTGAAAACTAGTAGAGGAAAGACACCATGGTTACAACATTACTACTAGCAGAGCTTTTCTGTATCCTCTATTAAAGTTACTTTAGGGAGTATAAGCCACAATTCCTAAGGAAATTCTAAGAGTCTGACCAACACATCTGACCAATTTGAATTGACATCCATTTTACACGTAGGCTGCAGTGTCATAGCACTGCCCCAGTTACAGTTGGTCTGTATGTGCAGTGTGTGTCTTCTGCAGGAGTCAAAGGTGCGCAGGAGGAGAAAGGAGGGAGGAACTATGTATCCATTGGAGATGATCTCTTTAGGCATTTCTTCCAAGGTAGCTTACACAGGAGAAGCTGGAATTATGGTTCACCCTCTAGACTTGCTTGTCAGAATAGAAGAAAGGTGTTTAGGGCAGCACTGCACGTATCACAGCCTCTGTCTGAAGTGGTGGTTGCCTGAGTATCCAGGCCCGTATGTTGGCATTTATTTGTTCTCTACAAGTCTTCATACACTGGTAATCAAGGATGTAACAAAATTTAGGCACCAAATATGACAATTTCTCCTCTAATTTTGTTTTTGAATGGATATGCAATATCTTGGAAACCAGATAACCAGGTGAGGTCAAATTGAATGTGTAAAATGAGAATAATGCACTAATGGTGCAGTACCATCACATATCGCAATAGGTCAGCGTCGGTATTTTTGCAATACCATCTCTCTTTAAAAGAGAGATGAAGTCAGTATTTACTTAGTAGAGATGTGTCAGTAGGTTAACTGAGCTATAGTAACTTAACAAAGAATCCAGTAATTTCTTAGACCTCTTCATCTTTGTGATATTTAAATGATTCTTTCTAGTACATTGCCAGCCACAGAGTAATTAGCATCTTAAGAGTTAAGACCTTGGCTTCAGTCAGGCATCCTAAATAGATAAGAAGCAAGTGTTAGTTACTTGTTGGGCCTTAAAAGTGAGTGTAATCTCTCAGTTTTAAAAGGTATCTTCAACATGCAAATTAACAAAAAAAAAAACCCTCTGTATGCATAAACAGTCTCTAGTTGGAGGTCTCAAAAAAGCAACAAAACTCCCCACATTATCCAAAGGACCCTCTTCCACAACAGCCTCTGTTACCAAAAAGAGAAAAAGTAATACAGGAAAACTACTTTAGATCCCTGTGTACAGCCAGTTTGGCTAGACCGATTCATTCACTCTTAACTCACCCCTGAAAAGCCTCTGGGATTACTGAGCAGTGTAAAAAGGTAGGTAAGGATCCCCACACTGAGCTACGATGTACAGAACTGTATGGTTAAAAGGCATCTAACAAAAATGTGCATTTCATGAAGGCCAGAAGTCCCTATTTTTTATACATGTTTCTTCAAACTAGTAACAGCATTGCGAGTATGCCTCCTTGTTAATTAATACAGCACAACCAGTGCAGGCTAGATGAGACTTGCACAGTTCTATGACAGCAGTGTTATCATCACCAGAGTAAAAAGAGCAGAAGGGCACAATTCTACAGGAATTTGTACAGTACCTCAGCTTACAGCAAAATGAAATGACAAGGAAGCAACATTTCTTGTTCCCCAGACAATCAAGTCGATCTTCTAGGAGGGATAGGATGATTAACATCTGAAAAAAAAGGTGATGCTCTTGAGATCAGCTTCTAGGCATCCTCATTCTAGTTGCTGAAGGTACGTGGATCACCTTATGTCTACCTTGAAAGACTCCAGTTGTACCCTAAGACCTCAGAGCAATGCCTGCTTGATTTTGTGCTTAACACATTGTTTCCTGAAGCATATCCATGATCTGATATTGCCGTAACCCAAACAATACCTAAATGAGGAACAGATAAAGTGAGTCTTTTACAGAGAATTCCCTTCTAAGAAGCAGTAAGGAAGCAGTAAAATGTGTGGAGTTCCCAGGGGTCCCCTATCTGAGAACCTGCAGTTTTGAATCCAGAGTAGCTTTCTGGCAAAAGCAAGATGGTTCTCTCTGTGACCTCTAAAGCCATAAACATCTGTTTGTAGGTCAGTACGAGAACAGTGGACGCCAGGAAACAAACTATTGGTTCACTGTTGTTAATACAGGAAATACTGCTATGAAAAACATTCACATAGTTAGGTTTCTGGATGGGAATAGACTCCTAACGCATATTTCAAATTTTACTGACCTCTCTCATCTTTGCTGACTTTATCTCAATCTTGAAGAAAAGGGAGAAGAACTTAAGTGTTTCCTTCCAAATTGCTTTTTTCTCCCATGGCTGGCTAATGGATGGGGAATGTAGTATTCCCCGTGTTTTTGCTAATCTGAAAAATACATAAGAATTTGTATGCCTTGGCCTAATAAATTGAATGTGTTTCTGTGCAGATGTTCCTCTGGGTGCTACGTTAGTAACCGCTTTTTATAATGGCTGCATGGAGGTGAAGGTCAACAACAGACAGCTGGATCTGGATGAAGCCATTTCTAAACACAATGACATTAGATCTCACTCATGCCCACTGATTATGCAGTAACCATTCAATTCTTAATTTAACTTTTTTCTTTCAGATATAATTTGTGTAATTAGTCTCATTCCATAATGAAGCCTGTATTATTTTATTCAAGATGTGCCAGGAAAGTAATCAACAGCATGTTTTTCCTCCCTTTCATATAGAATGAGGGAAAAAAATCCCCTCTGTTTTCAGCTGTAAAGAGACATTCAAGATGAAAATTCTGTAAAATATTCTTTTATTCATATCAGTGATAAATCTTAAAGCTAGATTTATCTTCCATGTTCATACTATGCCCTTGATATATTTAGTTTGGAGCGAAAGTTCAGGAAGTTCTGTTTAGAACCAATTTTACTTCTTATTTTCCATATATCAGCATAAAGTTACGAGTTGCAAATTTTGGTAATGTATTTGAATCTAAACAAAACTAGTCTCAAACTTTTCCAAGCATAATATACAGAGAAAAAAAATCTCTACAGGTTTTGTAACATGTGCTTTTGGTAAAGCAAAAAAATACCCCGGAATCCAGAGCACAAGCTCTCAGTGAATATGTTTACAAGTTGTATCAATATTGGTAAAGCAACTTCAAAACTGAAGTGTTTTTGTAAGTAGCTCAATTTTTGAAAATAGGTCTTGTTATACTGTACCAGCTTTAATTCTTCTATCTTAGGAACCCAGCTTTAGACAGAGTTCTGGATCAGGTCAGGTAATTTGCTTTCAAAGTGGGTTAGAATACACCCCAGGCAATTTTGGAAAACAGAGGAGATGGCTTGAAAGAAGGAGCTCTGGTCTTCATCACAGGACATCAAACTGGACTTTGCTAAGTAAAGCTGAGAATTTGTGGTAAACATTTCTTCCATTTGTGACAAATCTAGCACTCCTCAAAATGAGCACCCTTTAATAGTCCATCATATTATTCCCTTTATTTAGGTCAACCTTGCATTCACAGAGCCCCAGAAGAGGTTTGTTTGTGAGCTCTCTTGCAGTTGTGTTTCTGACATACTTGAAAGCCTAAATTTTGCTAGTAACATCAGAATGTAAAGCCATATTCTGCTCAGCCAACTTTAATGGAACAGGTAATTAGAAAAGTATTGTTTTCCTCAGGTGTGCTCATTTCAAGCATTTCTAATACTTCTTTAACATCCTTTGAGTGCTCTTTCCACTTCCAGCCTCATTTTCACACAATCAGAAACCTCCCTGTGCAGCTCACCTAGAGGTTTTGTTAACCCCAAACCAAATAAATAGCAAGAGAATTGCTATAAGCAATGAATATATACTCTCATCCATCAACCGGAGAGACATTTATCTGCCAGGATTCTTGACCTGAGATTTGCTTTCTTAGCTTGAGACATTGAAGTGGAAATGTATGTACAGAAGGATGGATTGTGACAATACTCACTTTGAGTATTGCCTTTCTCCAGAGCTATTCCCAGTGACATTAGTGAGGTTTCTTTCATTGTTGAGCACTAACATTAGTACATCAGTATTGCAGAATATGAGCCCATCTTTCAACATTATTGCTTTGTCTGAGGTTATAGTTAACTTCACTTCCCACTTGTGTAATGTAATACAGGATTTGCTCTGACTTTCATACCAGCCAGCCTCAGTAGAGTCTCTGAATCTGTCCAGCCCTCGTTCATACGTAGCTGCTTATCAGCAGGAATACCATACGGCTGACACTCAGGGGCTAATTGCCTGTGAACTAATAGTTCACTTTTTTAAGATGGCATGTAAAAAAAGCTTTGATTTCTCCAGACTCCATGGAGGGGAAATAACTGCAGGAAAGCATTCCTCCCTGCTCTCCTTCCATCCCAACACACACATTCTTCATTTGGGCCTAAGTTAAGTTGAAGAAAAAGTTGACTGAAATAAGTAGGCTTTGCATGCAAGGCAGAGCTGAATTGGGACTTTTGACATCAAATACACATGTGATCACTATTTACAGTATCTCACGGCAGCACCACTAAATTCTGGGTCAGCCTCTGCCTTCCACAACAAACACAGAAATGATGAGATGAGAAACACACAGTAAAGTGTCAGCAATACTCTAAATGCTTATGTCGGCCTGTGCGACCAGAAGAAAAGGTTTGGGGTTTTGTTTGTTTGTTTAAGGGTAATAAATGGTATAGAGGTAAAATGAAAGAAAAAAAAAATTTCTCATGCAGTCACCATTTCTTTTTGTTTTCATGGAATAATGTTTTAGGATTTTGCAGTTATAATGAAACCTCTGCACTCTTTTTTTTTAATGTAAAAGTGCCTCCCTATTGTAAGAATTAAATAAAGCAGCATTTGCAAGTTTCTTTTCATTTTAAGTTGTATTTGCATATCTTCGTTCATTTTCACTGTGTAAGACTTGTTCCAGTGGTCAAATGGCTTACTCAGGAGATTGTGATAATCTTCAGCTTCAAAGAAAAGAGTTGGCTCAAATTAATATGCTATCCAAATAGGCATCCATATTCTCTAGATAAATTTTTAAGTTTATTAATTGTTCAATATTGCCTGAGGAAATTAAGCTTTACTTAAAACTACATGTGGAAGAAAAGGGATCAGTGAAAGTTATTGATTCCTATCTTTTCTCCTTCATCAGATGATTATGCCTAAAAATACAATGAAGTACATTTCAGCAGGGGCCATTCAGTGTTTATACAGAACAGCTGCACCTGCTCTGTGCTTTTTCAGCTCCTGTGCACCAAGTGTTAAAAATCAGTATCTCCTAATTTCCTTGAAAATGAAATCTAGTCATGGAATTGGTTCTCATTTATACTAGAGCAGCTTCCTGCTTACATGCCTCATCAACGTTTACTTTACATTCTTTAATGCTTGCGTGTCTCCTAGTAGATTGAGTGCAAACACCTTCACTGTTGATACTCAAGATTAGCTCTAGAGCTGTCATCTTCAGAGAAAGAGAGGCCAAACTCATTTTCAGTCATTCTGGTCCTGCTTATCACTGAACAGTGCACTGATGTTGGTCCTTTGATGTCATTAGTCATACATACACGCTTAATATTTTGTTGCCTCAGCAACCTTATTATATCAAAATAACCACCCTGATTTGGGAGCAATTTCATGTTTTATCTGCCAAAAATGTACCAAAAAAATGGATACAAAGAAAACCATAATAGCTAATACCAAAGGGGTAAGGAAGGCATCACTGTGACTAAAAAAGAACCGAGATACTCACACTCTGGTTTTGTCTTTTCCTGACCACAGTCCCAGAGCAGCAGTTCAGAGCTAGGTGACCTTGGTTCCTGTCATGTTAGATAGCTTGTGGGTGCTGAAGTGCCAGCAAGATGGAAATACCATTGCACTATCACTGGAAATCAGAAGGAACATCTACAAAAAAATCCATCCCAACTACCTACAAAACCTTAATAGTAACAGGGTTTACTGTTCATGTTTTTAAAAAATGCTTCCTATCCACAAAACAACTGTACCCCCATTGTTACACTGGGCATATCCTTTTGCTCTCAGGGTAGTTACATTTCAATAGGAATACGTGAATAAGCAGCTAAATCAAGCTGGTTCCCAGTAAGGGAGCTAGTACGTTGCTTATAGGCACTTGAATCAATCAAGTGGTTGCAAATCGACACAGCTGTATGTAATTCAGGACTTAACTATGTGGGGTTTTTCTGAGTGGTTTTGTTTGTTTGTTTGTTTTGGTTTTTTTTTTAAAGGAATTTGTAGCATCCCAGCAAATTAGGAATGTGGCAAAACCACAAGTAACAAGAAACCAGTATCACACAACATAGGTTTGCAGAGACACAGAGTGTCCCGTCCCCCCCCGCCTTGTCATTCAGGATGAGGACCATGGGAAGCACAACAACATGTAAAGCAAAAAAACTACTCACCGCACCCCTCCTCCCCTTCCCCATAAGCAGTTAGGTGCATTTTGGGAAAGTCAGACATGTGCAAAAATAATTATGACAACAGTACTTTTTAAAGTAACATTTTCATACACAAACATTAACATAAAAGCATCCTATGCAGCAATCTGTGCCAGAAAATTTTCAAAGTAGCATGGTGCTTCATTTCTGTCCCTTGATTTTGGAAACGCTGAAAAGGCAGAAACCCAGTCCACCTTTGTGTGTTGGCTTCTATCCAGCCTAGTGGAGCACTTGCAGGAGGGACACACACACACAAAATCAGAAACAACACTGACAAAAAAAAACCCCTCACCAAACAGCACACACACCAAAAACCACATGCCCATTTGATCCGATAGATGTTTTCACCTTTCCTCTCTCTTCCACTCTATGCCCCTCCAAACACATCAACACCTCTTTCAAAAAAACCCCACTTACTTTTTAACCTCACTTGGCAATTTTCCATCATCCAGCATGGCAACAGTTTGCTCAAAAGTCAGGGCTGTGTGTGTGCCCCCCCACCCCAAGGCCAGCTTTACAAATGCACGTATATGAACAGGCACGCTTGACTGTAAACTGCAGCTTAAACAAGGACTTCATGTTGCCCTTGAGTATCTGTCACTAGAAGAGTAACCAAAGACACTGAAAGTACAAGACTCTAGTCTGTGATGCTAGACCTGCTATAGATCGAGTCTCTCTCTCACCTTTCCTCATAAGCAAAATAGGTCCTTGAAGCCCTTTTGAAAATCTTGCCTTACTTTTGCAAGCTTTAACATTTCCAAAGTAGTGCTTTGTTTCTTAATGCTCAGCAGGAAGCTGTGCTTCCCTCCCCTCCCATCCCCCAGTTAAAAGGTAAATAAAACCCAACACAACAATACGCTGCTCTGCAGTTACAAAAAAGCCATATAATTAGGCTTTCTAGAGACAGGGCCAGCATCAGCCTCATTCATCTCCGATCAGGTCAAACTTCCTCTGCTGAAGGCCGGCTGCAGCACTGGCGGGGGAAGCACGTGCTAACAGCAATGCTGACACCCGGCGTCAGTCAACTGAAGAGGTGGTGAGGGCCACAGGACTGGTGAGCAATACTTCCAGAACTTACTAGTGGGTTTATTTATGATATTATAAATAAAATATTAATTAAAGGTAAGGCCTTAATTAGTGGGACATAAGAAGAGCACTGTAAGACACATGCTAAGGTACACGTGAATTGTTGCAAGGTTTGGGCAGCACAGAAGATACAGAATAAAACTAGCTTTGCTTAAAACAAACCCCAAGAAAGAAAAGTTCATGTATAAACCAGCCAATATTTCTGGTTACCATTCAGCAGTAGCTTACCTTTCCAGGAAGGGTTTTTTCCTTTCTTCAAAGTCTAGCATGATTCCCATCAACCAAAACTCTGTATAAAAAAAAAAAAAAAAGAAAGAAAACCACAAACCAGCTGTCATTAGAGCAAGCCTTACTCTTTTCTAGCCTATCACAGAATGCTTGATCATTCCCACGAGCTGGTCACAGACTCCTGCTGACACAGCCTGTTGAAAAGCAATCTTTC